CCCCGCCCCGCCCAGCCGGCGCGCCCGCCCCGCCGCCAGACCCTTGGCTGCAAGCCCTCCGCCCAGCGCTGCAAGTGAGGGGAAAGCAACTCTACGCCCCGGATTATTTGGCTTCCTGTCTGATTTCGGGCACTCAGCGTGTCGGTTATTTTGGGCCCTTTACGTGGGCGTGTCTTTAACTTCACCCCGAGCCTTCCCCCTCCCCGCGCCCCGGGCACCGTCCAAACTCCTGCGAGAAGCGCCGTGCGTCGCCTCTCGGCGCGGGCTCTGCTAGAATTGCAGTGCGGTCTGCAGAGGGCATGAGATCATGGGGCCCCAAAATAGAGCGAGAGGAGGAGGAGAAGGATGCAGCTGAGGCTACTGCAGCTTCTCAAAAGCGGGAGAGTAGAATCGAACAGATGTGTGTGTTTCTGGATGGACAAGTAACTAGAATCTAGAATCAAGCATGAGAAAAGGCTTCCTTCTTTTTCGCCTCTTAGAAACAAGAATTCCCTCAAAACCCTGCTCCCCACCGCGGCCTTTGCTGCTGAGAGAGGACTATCCACCCTGAAAATAACCTGTTTTCACAAACATACATGCATGTATGGGACGTTTAGCTTTTTATGCTTTTATGTGGTTTCTATGTTTGTGGTGCTGCTTTTGTATTAATATTTAATTTACTAGTTTCTTTAGATTTGTTCTGTGAAAGGTTCAGTGTTGGTATTTTCCTGACTCTGATAACTAGGTTAGTAACATCAAAAATTCGAATGCAATATGAACTACTTTACTACTTTATCTATGAGCTATAGATAAAGCACCGTGGGCTATAATTCTTAGTGGGTTTTTATTCAACTGTGATTCTACAGCTTTACACTTCCTTTCTCATCAGTTACAAAACCACAGCTCTAAGATGAAGAGCGCTTTGCCTGTCAAGGAGAAACCAGTGACTTTCAATTCCTTTTCAATACCACCAACTTCACTGACTAAGAAAAGTTATAGTTCAATTTCACTTTTACTTTGATGGCACAAATTTACACAAATGTTTAAAAGATCAGAACAGGCGCAGGACATTAAAACACAGCACTAAGAAGCTAAAGTCACTTAAGCGTGAGTTCGATCCAGGCCCCGGAGGTGACCCACATGGTGCAGCAAAACTCTGCTGACAGCACCCGCTGCTCCCCTCAGCAGTGTACTTCGTCCATCTGCCTCTTCTGCTCCCTGGTGAATCCTCTGTCTCTGGTGAATTCTCTCACCGCCCTGCACCTCTGGCCTGCACCCCAGTTCTGTATGCACAAATAAATAAATCTTTAAAAAAAAAATCAGAACAAACGTTTACCACGGCCCTCTCTGGTGGCACAGGGGTTAGAGACAGTGTTTTCAGGCCATCAACAGCCACCTTAGCAGGAGTTCCATCCCCTGGCAGGCCAGGGAGCTACACGCTCAACAGACCTCTCCTATCTTCTCCACTACTCTGCTACTCCCCTCAATAGTATATTTAGTTGTTGTGCCTATTATGCTCCCCACTATTTCTGGTAGATCTCTCATATAAACAACACCCACCTCTGGCCTATACCCAAGTTCTTGAATGTGTAAATAAAAAATCTTTACAAAATAAAATAAACTTTTAACAGGTTTCCAGTGTTGTCCCCTTTAAACAGGTCAATTTGAGACGCTTTCCATTTACACTGGCCATTCATTCATTCAAGTACGAATCCTCCCATCTTTCGGCCTCCAACTAGACCTGCCTATCAAAAATTAAGTTGTAAAATCTTTCCCAAGTGACTTTATCTGGTGAAAGTGGTGAAAGAAGTAAACAGAAACTTAAAAACTCAAGTCATATATGTAGACTGCAGTCATACATAGGAGAGCTTAGTGGAAGCACTAACTGGCCTCTGGAGAAGTAAAGGTCATTCGTCAAACATCATTGAGTTTTTAATTATCTTTGAGTCAGCTCACAAACTACCCAAGAGAAACAGGTTTGCACTATTTCATAGTCACACATAATTTTTTTTAGCCCAAACTTGGCTCTAAATTTTCCTTTGACTGTTTCCAAAAATCAGATCAAGGACAAAGATTTGCTCCACCGGCTGTCAATTAAGTGGCAAAAGTTCTAAAAATCTACTCCATGGAGTCATTCCACAGATTCTTCTCACAGACAAAAACAAGGTGCGAGTGTGTAACTGCACCCAAGGACACGAACCTTGTGAAAGACCACATAGGGGACAAGGCCGGACACCTCCTACAGGTCATAAGCTCATAGACCAGAGCTGATGGGAGTATGGGAGGAAGCCCCCCCTCTTCCCCCCGCCCCCCCACCCTCCCCCACCTTCCCCTAGGTAACTGTGAGCTGTGGAAGGGGACAGTTATTGGCAGAATCTGTGCCTCTTGTGGTCAGATAGATTTTTCAAGACAAACAGGAAATTTAGATGTTTGTGTGAATTCTCCAGATTGCAAAATTTTTCTACAGAATTAAGTAAAACAGTTTAAAAAAAAACACTTTAAAGGCCAAACAAAATGTACAAAGGTACAGGGAAGACCTGGCACACAGTCTACCAGTATGCCACTGCTCCCCTCAGCAGTGTACTTAAGTAGACCCACCTGTTCTGTTTCCCACTCTATCTCTGGTGAACCCTCTCATCCCCTACACCTCTGGCCTGCACCCCCATTCTTGCATGCATAAAAAAATTTTTTAAAGATTTTATAAGATTCTGTAAGTTTTGCAGTATGTAACTTAAACATTTCTGTCCATATTTAGATATTTTCAAGAGAGATAAAGCCAGCATCCCAGACAAAACCACTTTATCTATGCCTAAATTATGGCTTCTGAAGTTGAGAACACTTCTCAACTTTCAAAAAATAAAATATGCTGAAACTAATGATTTTAGCAGCTGCTCCAGAGCTCCTTCAACTTGCTCCAGTTCTCCAGCAAAATACCAAAGACATCTACACTGTCTAAAAAGTTTTAAGAATCATAGATACTGTGGTCTTCATGAGATTTAAGGAAAAGCAGTTTCCATGACATTAATTTGTTTTTAAGATTTTTGTGACATTCTAATTTTTCTTTCCATTTTGTGAACATAAAAATATGCTCTCTAGAGGAAGAAGCTTGGATCAGTATGTGACCTTGTACAAATTACAAGAATTCTCTGAGTTTTTGGTTTCCTCATTTACAAAATATAAAGTACAAAAACAGATGAAATAATCAGATGAAAATTTGGTTACCATTAGAGAATGGGAGACTTTTGGACTCCCAAAGGAAGGCTCTCTCTCTCTCTCTCTCTCTCTCTCTCTCTCTCTCTCTCGGTCACTCACTCACTCACTCTCTCTCTAGCTAGCTATCTCTGGATTCCAGTTAAACATATACATGTACTTTGTAAAAATTCATCACTATGCCCTTATTATTTGGGCATGTTTCTGCCTAATTGTCATCTTTCAAGAAATGTTTACTAAAAAGTTTAAAGAATAAAAAAAGGTGTAGTAAATAATGTCATAAAACTGTACTATCTTCTAAATACCAACAAAATATACATTTCCCAACATTACATGAAAAGTTAAACCTGTCCTTTCCATACTTAAATCAATCAATAGCCATCGTTAGAAGAGGGAATTAAATCATTTAAATTCTACGTAACTGTGATTTATGAGCTAAGAACATTTGAGCTGTCATTGGACATGTCTCTACAAAAGGTATCCTTGTCCCTAGGATGGAGCAAAAGTGCCTCAGTGAGGTAACAAAATGAAGGAGGTAAAGCTACACGTGTAGGATGTAATTGCAAGCAATAGAAACTACTGAACAATGGAAAGTGAAAAAAATGAAGATCCCACCTCAAGGGAGCATCTTACGTTAGCCTTCCCAGCTTCAGCCGCTCACCACCATCACTTATACCTCATTTCAAACAAAATCTGGGGTTGCCAGATCATCTGAATTTATTCTGATAACTTTGCTCTTTGTTTTCCATGTCTCCTATTCTTATATTGCAATTTTTTTTTAGTATCTCTATTTCCCTTTCTTGTCTTTAAACCTGTGCTTTAAATATTTTTTATTATTCCATGTTAACTCCTCTGCTGCATTTTAATTTTTAATTTTTATTATTTTTTAAAGATTTATTTATTCATTGAGAACTGGGGTACAAGTCAGAGGAGCAGGGGCGGTGAGAGGGTTCACTAGAGTCAGAGTGGGAAGCAGAACAGGCAGATTGACACTGCTGAGGGGAGCAGTGGGTGGGTCCGGAGAGGTCTGCCAAGCCATATGGGTCACCTCTGGGCTGGGGATTTGAACTCGCACTGAGGCATCTGCAGCTCGCTTGCAGTGCTGTGCTTTATTTAACCCACTGCGGCACCAGGAAGGGCCCTTAAGTTTTTATTTTTAAAGTTATTTTTTAGTAGTTACTTAGAGGCTATAATATGCATCTTTAATCTAACATATACTTTAGATTAATACTGGTTTAACTCTAGTAAAATGCAGCATTTTTCCCTGAAATACATTTTCATTTTCTCATCTCTTTTTTGTACTATTATTGCCAAATATATTAATCTCTGCATGATACAAAGTTAATGATGCAATTACAGCTGTTATTTTAGCCATTATATTTTTCAAAGTAATTAAAAATATATGTGTATGTACACACACATATTGATTTTTTTTCCTGCACGAGTCACATGTTCTTGTTTCTTTCGACTTATCCTAATTTTTTGTTGAATACTGAACATTAGAATTACATGTTTATGGCAACCTTGGATTCTGGTTACTTTAAAAAAAAAAGAACAAAAAAAAATGTTTTTACCCATCTAGACCTAAAACTGTAAACTACCTGTTATTTTTTAAATTTTGCCTTTTTTTCCCTACCATCAACCCACAAATTAAGTCTACCC